CGTTTTGTTATTTTTGCGTAAGTTCGGTGACCGTTTGTGAAATTAACCCTTTTGGTTATAGATGTTGATGGCTATTGAAATAAATTCTTGAGCTTGATCACTTCGAGAAATTTATTTGACCAAAGGAAAACGACTTGCATTGATATCAAATTAGTGAGGGAGACAATGAACAAAAACAAGATTGAGAAAATAAGGAGGAAAAGAGAGAAGAAAGAGCAGAAGAGAGAGAAAATATCAATTTATTTCATTGTCAAAAGTATGTTTACGGTTGAAATTCTGTTACATTTATAGGGAAAGAAGTTAAAACTCAAATTAACTTCGAATAAAGTAAAATCTTATCAAGATATTACAATAATTTAATCTAAACGACATAACTTAATCAAGTTCTACTTTAAAATCAATTTATTTCATTGTCAAAAGTATGTTTACGATTGAAATTCTGTTACATTTATAGGGAAAGAATTTAAAACTCAAATTAACTTCGAATAAAGTAACATCTTATCAAGATATTACTATAATTTAATCTAAACGACATAACTTAATCAAGTTCTACTTTAAAATCATATCTAAATCCTAACAGATAAACTACTGAAATCTAGATAAACTCAAGCTCTATTCTAGTCTTTCCTTGAGTAGACTTTTAGTTGTTTCCCGTTGCTAATATGAAAAGCAGATTTTCTGCTATCCATATCATGAGATATAAGTGCGATCTAGTTACTTTTAGAACATAATATGCTTTTAAAGATTTGGTCTCTCTGCCTTGCATGGTTACTATCACTTTCACCTTGAGTTGTATGAATTACTGTGAACTATTGGAATGCTTAGATTTTAACTCGTGGAAGGAAGTCCACATTACAAGGTACTGTATTATTGTCTGATCACTTTTGCTACTTATTTCACATGGTATGCTATTCTGTGAATGATGAAATTATCATCTGCATTTAATATGATTTCCTGTTAAGTCTGCATTTATTTACTATTATCTATTCTTGAAGCGGTCCAGTGGTGTGAAGTGCAATGATAGAATTTCTTATTGCATCAGTTATTAGTTATTTGTAATTTCTAGTTATTGTAATTGTCTGAGGATCTTCCATATACAAATTGCCTAAAATTTATGTAGTAAATCTCATGAAAGAACTGCTGATTTCAGTTCCAAGGAACTTCAGATTATTAGAAGAGCTTGAGAGAGGCGAGAAAGGAATAGGTGATGGTACAGTCAGCTACGGAATGGATGATGCCGATGATGTGTACATGCAGTCGTGGACTGGAACTATTATTGGTCCTCCTAATGTTAGTACTCGTCCTTCTAATGGATGCAATTTGAACTTCCATATTAATTGATCTTCTTTAAACAATCCAATGAACTTTAAAAGGAAAAGAAAAATGACTGTCATTTCTTATGGTTTTCAAGGTACGATGAATTGCAGATGCAATTAAAGGATTATATGAGAAAAATGTTGGTTATTATGTAGTAGTACGATTAATCATATAAATGAAGATCACCAAAAGGATTATATGCATATAATCAAACATCACGTCAAAATTACTAAATGTTGTAACCGTATTTATTTATTTCTATGTAGTAGATCAAGTATATGTAATGAAGATAATTTTGCTAGAATCTACTGACCGAGGCAAATCTGATCAAGTAATTTTGGAAGATCATTGAAGATTATTATTTTTCATTTCGATATTTTCCACTCGTATGAGCTTTATATGAAGTAAAAGAAATTGTTCAAATGCCATTTGCTCGAGTGGACATTGATGCTTTGTTCTTTAAAAAATTCAGTGGACAGACAGACATCTAATGTTTCACGCTCTCTCTGTCTCCTCCCTCCCTCCTTCCCATAATATATGTTCTATCTCAGCACCAATGATACGACCAAAACTCTTGGAAGATCGTGTTCTGAATTTACTGCGATCTTGCTTGCACAAGGGCTTGCATGGCATTGTCTATTTGCTGTTATTTGTAACTTTAGTTAATATATCATCATCAAAGGATTAGAGTTTTTCTTCTCTGACTAGAAAAGCTGTTTTCAGACTGCACATGAAGGACGCATCTACCAATTGAAGTTATTTTGTGGGAAAGAATATCCAGAAAGGCCACCTAGTGTGAAGTTCCAAACCCGGATCAATATGAGCTGTGTCAATGAAGAAAGTGGCGTGGTATGTAATACTTAACAGTCTCACTCTGCAATAATATGCTTAACCACAATCTCATGGTAAATAAAACGTACCAGGTTGAACCAAGTCTTTTCCCTATGCTTGCCGACTGGCGAAGGGAGTATACCATGGAGGATATATTAATGCAATTGAAAAAAGAGATGAT